ACACATACAAAAAAATCCGGATCAATAAATGGGCAAAAGAACTAAATAGACACTCGCTTCTCTAAAGAAGAAATATAAATGGCCAACAACTGTATGAAAAATCATTCAAGATCCCTAGCACTCAGGAAAATACAAATCAAACCTACACTGAGATTTCATCTCACTCCAGTTAGAATGGCAATCATGAAGAATACAAATAATAATAAATGCTGGCTAGGATGTGGGGGAAATGGGGCACTCATACATTGTTGGTGGGACTGCAAATTAGTATAACCACTTTGGAAAGCAGTATGGAGTTTCCTCAAAAAACTAGGAATGGAACCACCATATGACCCAGCTATCTCACTCCTTGATATTTATGCAAACGAACTAAAATCAGCATATAATAGTGATACAGGCATGTCAATTTTATAGCAGCACAATTCACTATAGCCACATTATGGAACCAGCCCAGATGCCCGTTAATGGATGAACGGATAAAAAAAAAATGTGGAATATATACACAGTAGAGTTTTACTCAGCCATAAAGAAGAATGAAATATGGCATTTGCTGGCAAATGGATGAAATGGAAAACATCATTCTAAGTGAAATAAACCACACTCAGAAAGTCAAGTGTCGAATTTTTTTCTCATATGCAAAACCTAGAGAAAAATAGTATTTAAAAATGAGAGAATCTCAGGAAAGTAGAAGAGGGAAGCTCATGAAAATAGAAGGGAGATCAGTGGTAGAGGGAGAGAGAGGAAGGACAGGAAAAGGGAGAAACTATAGAATGAAAGTGACCAAATTATGCAAAATTCATTTTGAGGAATAAAAGATCCAAAATAGCCAAAGCAATCCTGAGCAAGAAGAGTGACGCTGGAGGCTTCACAATGCATGATCTCAAATCATACCACAGAGCTATTGTAAGAAAAACAGCATGGTATTGGCCTAAAAACAGACATGAAGACCCATGGAACAGAACAGAAGACACAGAGACAAACCCACATAGATCAAAGATAAAAAGTCCAACATGGATCAAAGACCTATGTACGATTGTGATTATACCACAGTGAATTTCACCTTTATGTATATTTACATGGTATCAATTAAAGAAACTATAAATAATTAGAAGGAAGACCAGTAGAGAAAAGGGAAGAGTAGGTGGGAGGAGTCGTGGTAAAAAGGAAATACTGGAGATCAAAGTGGAGCAAATTATGTCTGATGTATGTCAAAATGAACCCCAATATTATGTGTAACTATAATTCACTAATAAAAACATAAAAAAGTTTTGAATTGTAGGACACCTAATTGATACTTGCAATGTTAGAAAAGAAAAAGAAAAACCACACACTTGGTGCTGGAAATAGTGACTGGAGAGAAAATAAATTATAGACTTGTAGTCACAATTGGCAGCATATAGACACGAACTAATGATTTTCGTATGTATGAGTAGTATAAATCACTCACCAGTTAATACATTTTAATACAACAACACATACTCATAATGTTTGTAGCACCCTGAACTAAAGGAAGAGTCATCCTAAAAAAAGAAGAGAGACCACTCATGGTTTGTTCCTAAGTTCCCACTGTGTCCCTGTCACACCGTTTGTACATTCCCAGGTAATTATGGACTTTTACTTATCTGGCTGACTTAATCAGGACATATTTGGTTGCAAGAAATGAAACCCTTTCTAAAACAAATTAAGTTCTAACAAATGAGTGATTCATTTTAAGGCTACAACAAGAATTTTCAAGGTAACCTACAGGTAGGTGATGAAGTGTACCCTCTTATGGGACTGAGACTTGGAAATATTAAGTCAAGGTGTGGACTTCTGTCTTTTTCTTTCAAGGTTCTCCTTGTATTTGGTGTCTGCCTTTCATGGGGCATCTGCAGACTGTCTTCTGCTGCTGGCATGGCTGGTAGCTGCTTTCAAATGATAGCTTAAACTCCCAGATTCTCTCTATTGTATGGTCTGATATGCCGGCAGCCAGCTGAATTGGACCCTGTATATTAGTCACTCTTCTTAGTTGTAAGCAACAGAAACCGCCATGGCTAGTTTAAACAAAAAAGAACCTTACTGGATATTAGGGAGCTTATAGAATTGATGAAGAGGCTTGGAAAGCAGGAAGAAGGGGGCGGGGAAAGGAAATTACCCAATCAGCAGCACAGCCATGATCACACACAAAGCTGGTTCTGTAAAGTCACCCTCCTGCTATTAGGCACCCACAACATGAACCAGTGACACTGGTGGCACTGGACTCTGCTGTTGCTTCTTCTGCTAAAGTCCACTTCAGCCCTCACAAAATAAAACTCTCTAATGTTCTGGCAACTTCTGTATCATTAGGTTCCAATTCAAAAATCCAAGACAGATTTTCTGATAGGTTGAGACTAGGTCGTGCGCCAATTCCTTGGTCACAAGTCACAAATAGGCTGGGAAAGCAATTATTAGGCACTTTCAAATTTTGTAGTGGAAAGAGAGGTATACTTCCTATCACTTCTCATAAAGCAGGAAGTTCCTCAAAACTAAAAAAGGAATTTAGATTCTGGGCAACAGAAAACATAGGATCACTAGACTCACTGATCTATTTCGTTACACCTGAATGAATACGAGCACTCTATTTTGAGTCAGACATGTATGTGTGGACCAAATGACTTCTGTGGCCAGAAGGCAATATTCCTTTCTACCTAGAACTGAGTTGTCCAGGACGTTGAGTTCATAGATGCTTCTCTAAGAAGTGGGGTATGTGAGATCATGGTTAGGTAGTTCCTTTTCTTCTTCTATAGCTGGCTCATGATTGGTATCCTGAAGTGATCTGGTGACTGGATCCTGTGTTACCCATCTCAGATTACTTGATATCTTGCCATCAATTTCATTAATACACTTTTGTATGTTTATTTCCTGTTAGTGGGACAGTAGTGGTTACTTTGAGGTATTTGGTGAACAAATTCAAGCCTACTTCTTGCCTGGATATCTGAAATTATCACACCTAATATTCAGCAAAGTGGACCTAGAAAAACAACACTTTGGAACTTTAGAAGAAGATCTACTAGATATGATCCTTGAGAACACCTACCTGTCTGAGATGTGTGAAGTATGAAAATGGAAGAAAGTCTTTGTAAAGTTAAAATACCACCAAGATAATTATTTATTGAATATATATTGAATGTCTACCAGATCCTAGGGACTGTCAAGTTACACTAAAGTTAGTTTTTCTTTTCTTATTTTAGGGAGTTCAGCTCATGACAAATTAAACTAGATCTCTCTCAGTGGGTGCCAAATAAATAACCAACAAAAGCCATACAAGGCCATACATGGCGAAGGCCATTTTTAGTTCTGTGCTTCTGTAATTTGAATATTTGGGATTCAAATATGGGGAGATTGGCTGGTTAGCCCCATTTACAGCCTCTGTCTTAAGAGAGATTTACATTTTTAATAAGTTCTACAATTTAATAAGGAATTATGAAACAGTTTCTGGAGTTTTTGTTTTAGGTTCTGAATTTTAACAAGTACAATTGGGTCTTTGTTCTGAATTAGGTAAATGGTGCTAGGAACGATTATCTTCAATGATTATGGTTACTTGCACTTTATAGGAGGAAAAAGAAATATCAAAGTTGATAGGAAATAAAAGGAGTCTGTAAGAAACAAAAAACAAACAAGAATGGATATTATATGAAAATTCCACCATGGTAAGGGGACAGAATGGTAGGATTTTCCTCATTACATACAGTCAAATATAAAAAATACAAAGCTGGAATGTTAAACACAAAAATATTTGAGCCTAGGAAGGAAAATGCAGAAGTTTAAGAAAGGGCAAATTGGTAAAGAATACCAAAGATCATACCATTGTCATCTGTTTTACTAGTTCTCATTACCATCTATGTTCACATCTATTCTCTCCTTTGAAGGTCTGCTGCATCTCAGAAAGATGCTGTAGTTATGGCTGAAAAGTAATAATGTAATTATGTTTGAAAAATAATGACATAATTATGTCATAGAACAGATTGCTTGGGAAGTTTTGTTTGACAATATTGTCGTATGTGAGAGGTATCAAAATAAGTCACGTTCTTTTATACCACTTTAATAATATTTTAATAAAGAACCATGATGACATATGAAATAGTAATTTGCATACTCAGTAGGACTAAGACACATCACTATACAATAATTCCATTCGTCTTTGGGGGAACTGAGTTTTCTCTATAAGGAAAATAGAGATAGGCAAAGCTCTAACCTGGAACCATATAAAAATGGAAAAAGTCTTTGCAAAGGTAAAATATCACTAAATAATTACTTATTGCAATTACTTCTTTGCATCCAAAACATATATAGTGGATGTCTATCGGATGCTAGGAACTGGGTCAGGCTTCACTGGAGTTAGTTTTTCTTTTCTTATTTTAGGGAGTATAAGAGATACCCTAGGGATGGTCTGCTGGAATAAGATCCCACTGCACCCGTTTTTGTTTAACAAGAGGATACGGGTGGATAAAGCCCTCCTTATAAGTTGAAGCTGAGCAAACTCACCATCCAACTGAATTCTCAAAGGCAAGGATCATCCAACTTTCCATAAAGGACCAGCTAGTGTCCACATAAGCTTTGTGGTTCTAACAGTCACTATCACGACTCTTCAACTCTACCTTTAGAGCTCAAAAGTAGTCATGGAAATGAAGGAGTGTGACTGTGTTTCTATGAAATTTTATTTATGGACATTGAAAGTTGAATTTGTGTAATTTGTATGACAAACATTATTATTCTTTTGATTTTTTTCAACCACTGAAAAATGGAGAATTTATTCCTACATTTATAGATTGTACAAAAAGAGGTGGTGGGCCAGATGAGTTGGACCTTGGGCTACGGTTTGCCAACCCTGCTTTAACGTGTCCTGTTCCTTTCCTTCTTTCATAGTTTCCAAACTAATTAAGATTAAATACATTTTCAGGAGGCCTGTCAGAGCTTCTGTGGTGTCACAACTTAGTTTTAAAATATTATGGTCTAACCTTTCACATCCTCTTCCCATTCAGGTGTAAACATCTTCGAGATACAGTGTCAAGAAAGTGAAAAGCAGGTAAGACCTGTCAGAGTTCATAGATTCAGTATTTAAACTACTTTCTTCCACATTATTTAATTCATCTTTTCTTTCCCCAGTTTCAAAACATAATTCCTAATCCATTTCCTATCTTTCCACTTTAAATCAAATTTGTATGGGACATATATAATCTCTTTTGGAAAAGATATTTGCCATGACTCAAACAATCCTTCTGTTTGCTGTTGGTTTCTTACTTTTGAAATCAGAGAACACATTTTAGTCCCAGATGAATAAGAGGGGGAAAAAAAGTAAATGGAGTTGAACATCAGCCAAAATACAGGCTTTACATAAGATGCCCAACTAATTTCCCCAGCTCTGTCCGCTCTATTAATTTTCTGCCAGTTGCTTATTTTCTCACAAATCTTACACATCCTGTACATGCAAAAGCAAGAGGAGCAAAAGCTCATATTTGAACTAAATAAGCAGAAAGAACACAGCCATTCTTGTTACCATTATAGAAAAGCATTTTAAATTCAATTTAACCCATAATGAGAGTATACCCACGCGTTTTTCCATAGATAGTGCTGTGTAGACTGGGAGATTCTAAATTTCTGTATCATAGAGTATAAACCTGTAAGGAGTTTGCAACTAAAAAATACTCTCAAGTATATTTTAATAAAGAATAATAAATGTGCCATGTGGTTTGGTCAAAAATCATTGGTTGACAAAAAATATCCTAAATGGCTCCTTTTATTCTTTGAGCCTCTCTGAAATCCTTCCTAACCTCAAAGGACTTCTCACACATGCTCTCTTTTGCATTTCCATCTTAATACCATGAGGCATTGTTTGTTTGTTTGTTTGCTACAGCCTGTTGAGCACAGCTAAGGTTGTAGCTCCTGCTAGCCTCAGTTCTCAGTGCCCTAGCCTGGAGTGCTTGCTGTTTATCCCCTCTCGTTTCTAAGAATTCTGAATATTCCGTTACTTAAGGGTGAAAAATGTTTTTTGCCCCATTTTCCCCCCTCTGCTACAAAGTGGTTTCTTCTCTACTCAATTTCTTATCAAATAAATATAATTTTTTTTAATTTTAAAAAATGTTTATTGCAGCCCATTTCTTACCTTAAGACTCAGGAACTGATCCTTGGTAAAAAGGCTATGAGTAGTTTGAGGGTCTGACACCAACATGTAATCATCCTCCCTTCAGTAAGAACCCAATGACCTTGAACTAAATGTATGCATCTTAATTCTCATTTCTTTTGGCATGAATTCCGCTCCCTAAACTTTCTCATAGAGTGTCATTCATCCAGATCCTGGACCAGACAAATCCTGTAAGTCACACTAAAATTAGCTCAATAGTCACACACAACTTGGACTTCCATTCTGGGGGCTCTGCACATAAGCACATAGAGTAGCCAGAGTGAACTACACAAATGACACAAGTTGTAGGTAGGTGTTCAGAGAGAACGTTCTATTGGAATCTAGTGTTTGAGCTGGACTTTGAAAAATGGATAGAATATGGATAGTCAATGTCTTTCTTCAGTGGTGTTCTGGTCTACATTTTAGGAATTTATAGTCCAAGTCTGAAGGTCATTGAAGTGGACAGATTATCAGAAGAAAGATAATAGAGGTTAAAACAAACATGAACCAAATGAACAGAAACGTAGCAGAAGAAATCAGGGAAAAAAGGTAATTTTTATGTGTTATCTGATGCATTTTTCAGGATATGAAATCAAAGTTCATACTGTGCCTTGTAGCATGTTTCAGTTACCTCTATAGAAGACATGTGTGAATTTGTGGACAAGAAAGGCTTTATGCAAAAGATGGGAATTGAGAAGTTTCTGAAGGTTCAAGAGGCTTTGACCAATTTAATTCACAAGATTTGTAGGAAAAAGTTTTTTGAAATATTACCAAGATGAAATCTGGGGTGAAAACTTTTTTTTTTTTTGGCTTTGCTTAAAGACCTTTCTATTAAGTAGAGTATTAATATCCATCAGATGGGTTGATTTTTTTTTTTGACTGAAAAGGGGCATTTATGCCTGTAGTTTTCCAAAACAGAAAAGAGAAATGGAGTACAACAAGTTGCATTTTCTGGTTATGATTCATATGGTTAAGTTTGTATTGAGCCAAAGACAATGAAGGGATAACGGGAGGATCTTTAGGAGGTAGGTAGTTTTAGGTAAAGTCATGAAGGTGGGATCCTCATTATGGGATTAGTATCCTTATAAGTAGAGGAAGAAACTGCAGAATTCTTCACCAGCCCTCCTACCAGGTGAAGAAACCCTGAAAGGTGGCTATCTGTAAACTAAGAGGTGGGCCCTCGTCAATAACTGGGTCTTCCAGTACCATAGTCCTGGATTGCTGGCCTCCAGAACTGTGAGAAATAAGTGTTATGTTGCCAGAGTCACCCAGCATTTTGTCACAGTAGTCTGCTATGGTTTGCATGTCCCCTCTACAACTCATATTGAAATTTAATTGCCATTGAAACAGTATTAAGAAATGGAAACTTTAAGTGGTGATTAGGTTATGTGGACCATGCCCTCAAAAATGGATTAATACAATTATCATGGGAGTCGATTCATTTCTCAGTTCTTGACCTTCTGCTATGTTGCATGAAGACCTTTTTTTTTTTGATAAAGTATAAAGGATTTATTTGTTGAAATGAAAGTATGATCCAGGGAGAACATAAAGAGAGTCCCAAGAGAAGAGCAGCCTTGTATCTCCTGTGTTGTGATTTTTATGGCCTGCTTGGGATTCTCTGACCCCATGGATTATCCATTTAGAACAGTTACCATGGTTATAGCATGAAGCCTTATATCAGATACTGGCACCAAACATGCTCTTAGATTTTCCAATCTTTGGGACTGTGAGCCACATAAACTTCTCTTGTCCATAATTTACTCAGTTTGTTATATTCTGTTATAGTAGCAGAAAATGAACTAACACAGAAAACTGGTACCAAGAGTATGGTACCAAATATCAAGCTATTGTTATACACAATAACTTGGAAAGAACTCAAGGAATTGTACTGAGTGAAAGAAAGATCACATAATGTATGGTTTTACTCATATAACATTCCTGAAATGACAAAATTATAGAAATGGAGAACTGATTAGTGATGGATAGGTATTAGAGATGATGAGGGGAAAGGAATGGGTATGACTGTAACGGGGTCACATAAGGGAAATGTTTATAGTGACGGAATAGCTCTGTATTTTGATTATGACAGTAGTCATATAATTTTGATAAAATGATGTAGAATTATATTCACACAGTATACCAATGTCAGTATCCTACGTTTGATACTGTGCTACTAGTATGTAAGATAAAACCAATGGGGGAAATTAGGTGAAGAATATATGGGACCTTTTTGTATTGGTTTTATAATTTCCAATAAATCTATAATTAATTTAATGTATATATTCAGCCTGAACTCAAATTGCAGAAAATTCAAGGAATCACTTCTAGTGAGGCTACTATGAACTTCATGTACTTGTTTCTTTCATTATTAGATTTTAGTTGTACATACCATTATTTTTTGTCTTCTTACTATATTGTCCCTTTTATTATTATTGAATGTTTCTATCTTTGTAGTATTTAGTGTGTGTGTGCATGTGTGCGTGTGTGTGTGTATATGGGTGGTCTTTTTAAAAATCCTTTTTCTTTCATTCTATTTGTGTCTTTGAATATAAAATGTGTTTCTGCAGACAGTACTTGCTGGATCTTGCTTCAAATCCAGTCTTGCATTCTCTGTCTTTTGATTTAAGCTTTGAATCCATTCACATTTGAAGTAATCAATATTATACTTATATTTATAGCTTCCCTTTTGCTATTTGTTTTGCATACATCTTATTTTATTTCTCTCTTCCTCTTGAATGTCTTATTCTGTGTTAACAAAAACTTTTTGTATATCATATAAATTTCTCTGCTAATTAATATTTTTCATTTAGTTTTTATTTTCATTTGTTGCTGTTCTAGGCATTATACTATGCACCTTAATTCGTCTTCTCAGGTTACTACTAGCTCAATTTCATGTAAAATAAAGCAAATTTATTCCAACATAGTTGCTTCTTCTCCCTATTTTGGTCTATTATCATGACCATTTATATTAATTATACTTTATATATATATATATATATATATATATATATATATATATATATATATATAAAATGAATTATACAATATAGTTTTATAATTATTGATTTCGACAATCTCATGATTTTAAATTAAATCAAGAGAAGGTAAAGAAAAAATACATATTTATGCAGTCATATATATTTATCAACTTTGGTAATTTTTATTTCTTTCTACGTTACTGAGTATGTTGTCATTTTCTTTCAGCATGAAAGATGTACTCTACTATTTCTTTTAAGGCAGGTCTACTAGAAACACTTTTACTTTTTTTTTAAAACTTGGAACATTTTATTTTCCCATTCATTTTAAAAGATTGCTTTATAAAATATAGACTTCCTGGTTGACAGTTTTTCTTTCAGTATGAATGGCTATGACTTTTGATAGTTAAACTGATGATCTTTCAACTTTACATTGGTGTGAAAGTGATGCACATTCTGTAGAAACTATACTTCAAATTTTAAAATTTGATCTTTTTCTATATCTAGTTCTATGACCCTCTCATTTCCTGTCCTCTCATTGGAACTATTTTAAACCCAGGTAGAATTTAATAATTACAAACTGTGAATTTATACTTTAAATTTAACTGTTATTTTCTCTGTCAATGGAGATGCACAAAAGTGTGATGATATCCAATTATCAGGTTAAATAAAAATCATAATTGCAGTTGTGCCATTTTTGCATTTGCATTGGAAAATAACCTTTTTTACACAAGTAACAGGTTTTAGCTACAAGATCAAACTATATTTATATTTATTTAAATTATTCTTGAATTTCCTTGGAGGCATTGATCACCATTTTACAGATGAAGAAACTATGGCTGAGAAAAGGACAGGCATGTAAAAATTGATGTGATGCAGAGCATAGACCCAGATGGTCTGACCCTCAAGATCATGTTCATATGGTATGTGACTATGTGTTTTGGAAATTCATGGTATTGTTTCTAACTGGGAGTAATATAATTTTTAGAGGTGAGACTTTTTCATTTCCCTTTTCCCTTTCCTGTTGAACTTGTAGCATTGCTCCTGAGACTGATAAAATGAATCCACTCATTGCAGTTCTAGCCTCTTCTACTCTGGAACAACTTCCCTGGGGCAGAGTGGTAATTGCTTTTACATACCTTATAGCTCTCTTGCTTTACTTGAGAAGACAAAGTGTATAAACACAATTGCTTTACAGTCACTTAAATACAGGTAATCTTTCCTTTGCCTTCTAAGTATTGGAAATGCTTAGGTAAACATCTGTTATGGTTTAGATATAAGGTGTCCCTCCAAAACTCATACGTGAGACAATGCAAGAAAGTTTATGAAAACCTTAACCCAATCAGTGCATTAATCCATTTGAATAGATTAACTGTGGTAACTGTAGCCAGGTAGTGTGTGGCTGAAATAGGTAGGGGCTTGCCTTTGGGATATATATATATATATATATATATATATATATATATATATATATATATATTTTGTCCTTGGTGCAAGGAGCTCATTCAGCTTCCTGGTGTCATGTCTTCCAAAACACCCTTCTGTCATGATGTTCTGCCTCACTTTGGGCCCAGAGCAATGGATCTGGCAACTATGGAATGAGATCTCTGAAACTATGAGTGACAAATAAACTTTTTCTCCTCTAAAATTGTTATTGTCAGGTCTATCACTCACAATGGTAAAAAAGCCGACTAAAACACCTCAGATTTTAAACTTAGCTTCTTTAAAATTAGCAACTTTTAACTTTGATATGTTAGCCAGAATAATACTCCCAAATTCAACATGTTGTCTATCTTCTTTAATACATGCAGAATATGTGGTGATAGCATGGAGTATGAAAGTAACCATAATTTTTTCCACTGCTGAAAATCTTTGTGATCAACAAAGTTGTTATATACTATTTTTAAGTTTCATTTATTTCTTCCCAGAGTACAATTCCCTTTTAAAGATCACACGTGGGTTCTATATTGGAAAACACCCATATTGAATTTAAGTAACACTTCAGATAGGTGAGAGGATACTTACTTGTTTAAATTCACTATTTTTTTTTGTCTGATAATACCTATGAAGAGTGAAAAGTGTGTCCCCTGCCCTCTGGGATGAAGGAGGCCAGATGTACTGAGAATGCTAATGTTTATCTTTTGAGAACAAATGTGGCCCAAATCATTTTAATCTTTGTTTTTAAATCAATTCTCTTGTTGGTTGTTTATTGTTAGCTGATGGAAGATACAGGAACAGGAGGAAATTAATTATTTATATAGATAACAACAGAAGATGTGAGATGTGGATATTGGTCAAGATGAAACAGTTTTCCTAATAGATTAATACAATTTAGGCAAAGATAAGACTCATGTACACATACACGTTAGTTGTTTATAGGGAATTGGTTATGAGATAAATCTCACCTTTGAGACTGATTCTGAATCCCAGGGGACCAGAGGAACATACATGTAGCTATAGAAACTGCTCTCAATGAAAAAATGAGGAAAAAAAAGACATAGGAGAAATTCACTTTTACTGACTGGTTTTCTGAGCTTTGAATCAAATCTATCTTTTTGCCAGAGGTTATTTTGCCAATAGCTTTATTCATTCTTAGGAGGCTCAGCATTTGAATATGTCAGAGCATCACTTTGCACTCACTGTGGCTCAGGAAGAAAGGTTGACTTATATAGAAAGAAGAAACCTCTAAGAAGGTTTTTGGCCCCTGAGGTTTGTCTACAAACATCCCATTATTGTGGATCACCTCAGGACCCTGAGATGTGTTAATTTTCTAAAAAAATAAGCTCCAAAGCTACCACATAAGCTTCAGAATTCTCTGTTTCTGTCTGTCTTCTCACAGTTTCAATTGACTACTATATATGGACCCACAGAGTCAAGAATATAGTTTGGTGGTTTCTAATAATAAAGTGAAAGCAGATAATGGATGAATTAGGTCCTAATGCAAAAACTATGTCCTGATGTGTGAATGCTTCTGTAACTTTTGGGCAAAACATAATTATTTTCAGATTGCCTTTCCAGGGAATGGAATTTAAAAATGAGGCATTTAAGGACATTATTTTTTAAAAAATGGTAGCAGTTAAATTCTCTGAAAAGATGGGAAAATTGAGAAAACTTTCAACATGTATAATACAATATTCAGATTTGTAATTAGCCAGTGTAGGAATTGAAATACACAGATTTGAGGCCTTAGAAAATGAACAAGAGTGACTATGGGAAGATGAGTAGCCTTTAGAAATATCTTAGAAAGTAATATACTGATACGTAGTACTAGAGTCCCCATGCAAAGTCCCAGTCATGAGGAATCTGAAGAGGAGATAAGCATTCCCAAATACCTTTTTGGAGGAAAAATAAAAATGAAATAATTTTTTTCTTTTCTATTTCATATTAGTGCAAAGCCTGATAAATAGTAATAGCTAGTTGAGAAAATAAAGGAGTTAGAGTTGACATTAAGACATATTTTTTTCTATAAAGCTCTTTGGAATTCAGAATTGACTTGGTGGAATGTCAACTATTGTTTATGACCATATATAGCTGTGACAGTACATAAATAATACATGTTTGCTTCATTTTATATCTATGAGCCTGGGATGCTAGGATGATCTTAGAAATATTTACTCTTTCTCATTTGCAGTTATTCAAAGATTTTCTGACCCAAAAGGTGGAAGTCAATATTTCTCCTCATAAGTCATTAGGTTTATGCCATTGGCTATAATAAAAAAGCAGATTTTCTATATTCTGATTTATCTGGAGGGTTCATTAAAATTCTCAGATGAGCTTGCCTTTTCATCTATAAAATATGGTTTGATACTATTTAGCAACTATGTCATTCCTACACTTTAGAGTATATGATAATTGTATATAAATATCAGGCAGACTTCAAATAGAAATTACTCTGAGCTTAAAACAATAAAGCTGTTAGGCAAAACATAATTCTTTTCAAGGAAACCTCCACAGTTAGGGGTTTAGGATCTCAATGTATCTTTTTGGTGGGTAAGAATCCAATAATTTAATGCCATATTAGCTATACAAATAATGGGAAACTAAGAAACCAAATAGGGCACATTCTAAGGATTAAATAACAGGAGGAAGCCATTGCCATCATGCATTAGTTATCTATCACTGTGTAATAAATTGCCTCAAGCTTAATGCTTTGAAACAGTAGAATATATATATTTTTTTATCTCATACAGTTTTTGAGGGTCAAGAATGTAGACATCGATTACATGGGTTCTTCTGACTCAATGTCTTTTTGGAGCTATTGACTAGGGCTGTACCTCCCCATGTGGGTGCATGACTGGGATGAAGAATCCCTTTCCAAGCTTGCTTAGGTGGTGGGTGGAGAGTTTTACTCCTTGCATATTTGTAGCATTATGTGATGGCAACTGGCTTCCCCAGAGCAAATTGTCTTAAGAGAATTAGTGAGAGATATGCTCAAAACAGAGCCCATTTTAAAAAAAATTCTGAAGTGATGTCCCACCACTTTAGTCTTTGTCTATTTATTATAAGCGAGTTACTAGATGGAGCCAATACTTAAGGGAAAGGGAGTACACAGGGTATGCATAGTGGAGGTGAGCCTATTGTAAGAACAAAATATCACAAAGTGAGTGGTTTAATAGAAAATTAATGTCTTGATTCTAGAACCTAGCAGTTCAATATTAATGTACTAGAAGAATTGGTTTCTTTTGAGTGGTGAGGGAGAATCTGCTCCATGCTTCACTCTTAGCTTCTGGTGATTTGCTGACAATCTCTGACATTTCTTAATTTGTAGATGTACCCCTCCATCTTTGCTTTCATTGTCACATAGTATTTTCCCTGTGGATACATATGTCTCTGTGTCCAGATTACCCCTTTTTATAAGGATGGGAGTCACACTGGATCAGGGTTCACCCTAATGACTTCATTGTGACTATACCTGCAAAGATCCTAATTAATACAAATAGGGTCACATTCACAGGCTCCGTGGGGATTAGGAAGTCAGAGTTTCAAACACCCACAGTTAGGGGTTTAGAATCTCAATGTATCTTTTTGGTGGGTCACAATTCAACGTATAACCAGGATCTGTGATAGAGGCCCACACAGTTAGCGGAGGAGGCAGTATTAAAAATCCTAGCCGAAAGTTTACCCAAAGGAAGGTAAGGCCGTGGTAGGCTTTCTGGAAGGAGTCATAGAGAAGACTCAGTTGCTGCCAGAATTGCTATGTGAGCAGAGAGTGATTGGTTTCCTCTCTACCCTGGCCCACCCAGAAGTATACAGTCCAATTTTCCCTTGCTGAAATTTAGTCAATAAGGAAGCCTCTACAAGTCTACCTCCTGCAAGACTGAACAGAGCAGGGGAAAGTCAAGCAACGTACCTGAGGACAAATTGCCCCCATGACAGGAATATATGCATCCCATGAAATCTGTAGGGCAGAGTTCCAGGGTGCTGCAGTGAACTCACAGAGTACTACTGGGTATTTTAGTTTGGGGAGGTTAACAGAATAATACTTGATATCTGTTGGAAACCACATGAAATTCTAGCTCAAGATAGTCCATGGGTTCCACATCATATTGTGCCACATTCCTTTCTGAGTTCTTGCAGATGCCATGTCCTAACTACTTTGATAAGTAGAATTGGAGCCATATCTCTATCTAGAGGAGCTATAAAAAATTCCTGTCATTAAGTGCACTAAGAAAGTTTGAAATTAGTCTTTATTTATATTATTACCCACCACCGCCATATGTATAGATCATGCCCAGGGAAGTTAATTCTTCAATATCTTGGCAGCTAACTTCCTGCCTGTTATCATTCTCAATTTTACCTAAGTATTGCTGAAGTCAAGGTTGGGTCCTGAGATTGTCCAGTTGGGATAATGCACTGAGGATAAAAGTCTTTCCTGAGAAATACAGATTAACTTTTGTTGGTCCTGAAAATTGGCACTTTCAGGGTTTGTGATTTACTTGCCAAGGCTGCTGTTTAAAAGGAGAAAAC